AGAATGTAAAGAGGTCCATTAGGAGCGGTCAAATCTGATATTCTAGCGGTCTATTGTAAGACTGATTGGGTAATTGTAGTTTAATAATATAATTAATCTACCATAATCGCCTGTTATTTTTGTTCCATTCTAAGAAGCAACTACTAAAATATATAAATATATTTAATTCATTTGTATAAATATATGCAAGAAATTAAATACAGTAATAAAAAGGGACACCAAAACATTTCGATGATATTTAGTAGTTTCACTGGAAAAATCCTTCCTATCTAACTTAAATACTTAAAGCTATTTTTTAAGATTTGCGTTTTCTTTCTTTTATCTTATATGTTTCTCTAATATCTCTTATTTGATTGAAGACTAAATGGACTTATTTCGTGACAATCAGGTCGTGGAGATTTTGTATTTCATAAAATGGTTTAGTTATCCAAGTAGTCTAATATTACTTTTAAAATGTGTTTGTGAGCGCATAAATACATTTGTGATCGCACAAATCTAAAACTCAAATTGAAAATATATAATGAAATTTATTTTTAATTAAATAAGCAGTATTTAATTACAATACTAAATAAGAGTTAAAAACAGTTTGCGTACTTTGTGAACGAAATTAGCTTAGTTCTGATTTATTAAAAGAACTTTCATTGGCTTATAAAAATGTATTGCAATATGAAATACCATTTTTGTTTGAAGTTCTTTAGAAAAAGTGTATTTGTGTAAAATAGAATCACAGATGTTGTAATTTGTGCTCCCATAATTAATAGGAGCATGTTTAGTTAAAAAGCAAGTAACTAATCAGAGTTTAGTTTAGGTTGTGACGGTGATCCAAAAGACCCACTTATGCCTATTAGCTCATTGTATTACCATATACAGAAAAGTCAGAGTTTATGTTTTTTTAGACTTCAAAGCAAGCTGGAACTCTTTGTCAAATAATTTATATCACATTTTAGTATATACAATCTGCTTAAACAGTTGATTTGAATATTGTCGTATATAATAACATAGTCTTAGTCTAATATAGAACAATATAATAAATCATGTACATTAAAATATTGCATTTCTTTCATTGATTTAAGTTTTAAAATCTTATTTGACTCCTAAAAAGCAAAATAAAAATATGTATTAATTATTTTATGGGATGTTATGAAAAGGACATATAAAGTCAAAATATCTATTTTATGTCAAACTTTCAAACAATGAGTCAAAAAAATATATTTGACACACAAAGAAAAATAAATAGAATACACAAAAAACACAATATATAAGGTACGTTTATCTTGACTGAAGTTTTTGACATGAAATAAGGTTGACTTATTGAAATGTTGTATTAATGCAAGTAATGTCAATGATGTCAACCGGAAAAATTGATAAGAGCAGGTAAAATTTTGTTGGAAATAAATAATGAAGAAATGTTTTAAGCAAAATAAAGGGAAATCAAAACAAATAATAAAAATGTTCAATATTGTATACATTGTGACCGAAAAGTTTCCGGGAAATTTTAAATAAAACGCAAAATTCTTAATCTTCATCAATATTTATTTTATCTCCTTCAAAATATGCTCCATTACAAGCGATAAACAAATGCCACGTTTCTTCCAACATCAAACATTTTTATAGGCGCTTTCCGGTATGGCTTTGAGTTCCCTCTGCGAATTCTGTTTTACGTCTTCTATGGATTCAAAACGCGTTCCTCTGAGTGGTAATTTGAGGTTGGGAAACAGGAAAAAGTCACACGGTGCAAGATCAGGTGAATACGGTGGCTGTTCGATGGTATTTATTGAATGTTTGGCCTTAAAATCGTTGATAATGTTGAACAAATTGAGGTGAATCGGAACAAGCCGGGCGTTGACACGTCGCATACACAAATTGTCCACCAAAATCAAACGAGCCATCTCACGACCGATGCCTAGCTCTCGTGCTATCTCTCTAACACTCACATGAGGATTTTTGAACACGATTTCCTTTGCCTTTTCAATGTTTTCGTCGGTGGTAGAGGTCGAAGGTCGTCCAGAACGCGGCATGTCTTCGACGGTCGTACGACAGTCCTGAAAGGCTTTGTACCACTCATAAACTTGAGTTTTCGATAAAACTGATTCCCCATAAGCCTTTTGTAGCATTCGCAACGATTCTGCACACGAAATTTCGTTCGAAAAACAAAATTTGATGCAAACTCTTTGTTCAATATTTTTTTCCATTGTTTTTTTCGCAACGCACTACTGAGGTGAACTGGTTTCAACAGCTGCCGTAAA